CTCAAAGGTGCCGATTGTGTCCATATTGGCCGCAATCAACGGAATGCCTGTGTATTCGTGACCCGACCTCTTGAAGTGATAGGTTCTGTTCAGATCAACCTTCGGGTGACATCCAAACCAATGCATTCACATATTGTATACAATACTCAATACAATAAACACTATTATTCTTACATCTGAACGACTCCTGAGTGTCGACCGTTTGGGTCTTAATAAGACGTCTTTGAAGTCCAGTTTAACCCCTTCTTGGATGTTAGGCATTGCTTAGGATTCAGTTGAGACACAAATGACCACAAAATTTATAACTATTTTATAATAGCTTTCAGTTGAAGGCAGCGATGAATACAGCGATTCTGTGTTGTGTTCACTCAATACAACTCTACGAGCACTGCATTAATACTCAATGTCTCACTGTTTGTCCAAACAATTGGTGTTTGCTTTCAGATAACTACACATAAAACTGCATTAATATTGTTATTGTAATCTCATTGGGAATCGGATTACTATTGAATTGATATTAAATATTGAATATCAAAGTCAAATAAATCACGTTTTTCTCACATCCAGTGCTTTACCATTAATTTATTCATCATTTCTCTCTCTGACGCTCTCTATTGTAAGTCATATGAAGTTTAATTGAATCACAGATTCTGTGATTCTGTGCTTATTATAGGACTCTTATAAGACTTATATTCTTGACTCCTGACACAATAATTGCAATACATTTGTATTCATTGTTTTCATGTCTATTATTATACATTATTTTGGTATTGCATATGAAACCGGTTTTCAGAATAAAAATATTGTGTAAATACAGTAAGTTGATTCTTTACATTGATAAGTTGTAAACATATTATCCCGGTATAAATAATACTAACTTATGTGTTTGAGAAAACAACTTTTTCTAATTAAGTATAATATTCACTGAAATGTTTTTCTTTCTAAATTCTAATATTACAAACTTTCAATTAAAATAAATGTTGATTTGTAATTGGATACTGTTTCATTGGTTTAATATCATAAATATTCATAAATATATCACACATCTGCACATGTATCAGGCTAAACAATACTGTATATTTAATAATATCTGTTTCTACTGTATATTTAAAGATCCTTTGGACTCAAAACTTTGGATATTCTGTTAGAATATACAGTACAGCAGTAATATTATCGGAAATATGCGATGACTAAATAATCTTGGTAAAATAATAGGCTAGTAATACGATAATTGTCTACTCATATTATAATTGTCAGACTCGGGTGCGGCTTAAAGTTATTTTCTTAATAAAATCTAACTGAATATGATCTTATACAATTTAACAGTTACTGTAACAGTTAAGTAATTGAACCTGGTACAAAACTTAAGGGAGTGTATTAGTCTAATAGATGTTGTGTACAGTACAGTATACTGTATTTGATTGTAGTGTGAATACAGTATTTTGCTCACAAGTGAGTCACAAACATGTGGACAAAAAGTTTTGCAATACTTTTCACACAAATGTTTTGCAAAAGTGTCAACAATTGACGCAAAATTCACATCATTTGCCACTCATTTGACGGCAACATGTGATCACTCTTTTGTGGTAACCATCGCTCATATCTTCACTAAATATGTCGAAAACAGTTCCCAAACCCGTGACCATCGAAGTCACTCATCTGTATAGCAGTCATGACAACAAACTCTTGACTCAAACGGATCTCAAATACATTGAATCCAAAGTGTCTGCGAACGCACCAAACGAAGAGCCCAATGATAATCGCTGTCTCGTGGACGCCGTCGCGCGTAAACTGAGCCGAAGATTAGGCGATTGTGACGACAATCTGGTGGTAGAAAGCGATGACAACAACCGATCGCTAATAAGCATACCGTTCAAGAAGTCGGCGAATCTTCGCAACTATTACGAAGAGAGACAACTCTTCCGGTTCAGCGGTTCCGTGCGTTATGTCAATCCCAAGAGAGATATGGTTAAGAAGAGTTGGACCAAACTCTGTGACAGTCAACACTTGGCCAACACTTTGGTGATGCCTAACATGGAGTGTCTGAAGCACTTGGCAGACATCGATCGCCTTATACCACGACAACAGTACCACAAAATTGAATCGTTTAGCTTGGGATCAATTGTAGACTTAAGTCATTTCGTTGAGCACTACTCGAGTCGATTGGAGGGACAGATGAATGTGGCGAAGGATGACATAATGGCTGACTTCCAACACGACCAGAACCGGCTATACCTCAAGTTCCGTGTGTCCAGTGGTGGCCGTAATGGGAAACACACCAAAAATATCAGATATAAGTGTGAATACAATTTCAAAGCATTCACTTCAGCCGTCGTGTCCTTCGCGACGGTTAACAACAAGAAAGTGATGCGAATCTACTTCTCGTTAACACATCCGCCGATTCTCTTCAAAGTATTTGTCGATGACTTGGCTTATGATGAAGAGCTGAGGGCTAAGAAACGGGAGGATAGACTCCAGCGTAGAGGACAACAGGCCTTCACAAGCATTGAGTCCAAAGGCGTTCATAATAATGAAGTCCAGAGTTATTACGCGTGGATTCGTGACAATCACTTTCATGGATGCGATGCCGAGACTATCGGCAAATCCAATGTTCTTATGCTTGAGATCCCTATTATTGTGGACGCGAAGAAACTGCGGGATAAGTATCTGCAACTCCCGGACCCCTACCGTATCCTCTATTTAATGAAACGATTCGCACGAATTCCCATTTATTTCTCTCATATCGAAACACATGAAAGTTTTGACAAAAATATTGTGGACGAGAGGAATGAGTGCAAAATTAAGTATCCCTTTCCCATCGAATATGCTTTCCTATCAGTGTTTTCCAATACATTTCAAACGTCTGACGAACTTTTCTTTAAAAATCAAAGCAAAACATTCATTGAAAAAGTGACAGAATTTGCTAAAATCGATGAGAAGGCCACCGAAGACACGCTCTTTGAGTTGGCGGCCCTTATCGATAGGAAAGCCATTTTTTGTACAATTAATGCTTTGGAAGAGGTGTTCAAGAATTACAAAAAAATCAACGATAAGACCCAAAACATTAATATCGAGACATCGTTTAACATAGAGATCGAGAGCATCAGGCGTTGTATTTTAACGCCGACGCGATTCCTCATTCTTCCGCCGCAACCCACTCTCAGGAGTCGATTCATTGTCGACAATGACTCCAATTATACGATTCGTCTGTCAGTACGTGAGGACGACTTGGAATCTCTTCAGTTTACTGTTCGCACCAATAGTGACACTCAGAAGCGGTTCCTCAAAGAGATAGTTAAGGAGCGCATTATGAGAGGCATCCCAATAGGGGACAGAGTTTACGAGTTTTTAGGCAGTTCTTCGAGTCAATTAAGAGACGCCGGAATGATATTATACGCCAAAGACACAGAGAACAGAACCGCTGAATCGATTCGCGAAAATATCGGCGATTTTAGAGAGACAGAGATTCGCCGAAATCCTGCCAAATATGTGGCCCGACTTGGGCTCGCATTCTCTCAAGTCATGACTCACATTGAAGTCAAGAAAAGTGAGACACAAAACATTGACGACATTGTGAGTGAAAACATGAAACTGGATGAACACGGAGAGCAATTGGACGAACCGTACGTATTCAGTGATGGCATCGGAAAAGTGTCGCAAGAAATCATGAAAAGAGTTTACGAAAAGCTTCCCAATGAGTGCAGGTATTACAAGCCCTGTGCGATGCAAATACGTTACGGCGG